GTCAAAGTTGACGCCAAAACCGATTCAAACGAGCGCTGTTCCTGAGCCATCTTTGTAGTTTTCTCTGATGCAGCTCTAGTGGTAAGCCTGCCTAACAAACATAGAGCGCTGTGATTGGCAAGAGACAAAACTGAGCTAAACATGGTAGACCTGCTGAGGCTACAGTGGAGCGTAGACCGGCCTGCAGAGCTAAATCTATTACTATTACTGCAGTTGGTCTGGGTTTCTGGCTATAAATCTGCAACAATTCTTTAAAACATCTATAAGTTTTGAATAGACTGGACAACATCACATTTGTTCACTGATAATCCCCCCTCCTTCCTTCAGAGCTGCCTGAGGAACACCTTCTTCTCTGATGCTGTGAGGCTCATGACCTCTGACCCTTAAGCTTGGATTCGTTGACTAAATAATGATTTTTTAGCCTCTTTTATTGACTTTAGCTTACGGCTAGCCATAGTCACACATTCTGCTCACCATGAAAATGGTGATAAAAATAAATGTTAAAACTGCCTGATGATCTTTTTATTTTGATACATCACAAATCCTAAAGTCAGAGGGAGTTTAGCCTTCATCCGATAAAACTCCAGCTTCTGCCCTAGTTTGAACCATCTCCCGGCCAGCTAATAAGATTTCCCAGACATCCCATAACTCTGAGATGGCTGCTGCTGATAGTGGCTATGGTTTTAGGGGAATCGTGGCAGCTCCCCCATGTTGGTGTGACCGTGCTGATTGAGTCTAAAGCCGTGAAGAAATGGCTGCACAGATGCAGCTCCAGTGCCCATAGAAGTGAGGGATTCATCTATCCAAGGGTCTGATAACACCGACCATCATCTCAGTGGCCGAGAGAGGTCAGAGTGGGCACTGGGATGTGGGAATGCTCGGGAACACTCATCCCGTTGCAGCGTATGAGTCACTGGTGCCTGACTGATGCCCCTGAGAGAGGATTTAGACCTGCTGCTTTAATATAGTAGAGCTTCTGTGTGTCTAAATGTAGGTTGGTGTGCGTTTTGCGGTCCGTGTGAACGAGACAGAGTAATGGAGTCCAATGTTTAGAGGTAAAGAGTTTCATTCAGTTCCTCTGATGGAAGATTTGAGGGTATATCCATCCATCCACTGTCATTCCGTCATCTCCTCTAAGCTCTCTATTACTTTACTCTCTCAGAAAAGACGATCCTCTCAAATCCACGCCTTTTATTTTGGACCAAAACACTCCCAGACTTAGAAATCAATGGAACAAGAGGCTGTTTCCTCCCAGAGATTGAAGCTGATGCAATTTAAATCCATCTGCAGAGCAAAAAGAGAAAAAGGGAGAGGGGTAGAGATGGAAAAAGCTTGGGACGAAATAATATATTCCTGTGTGGAGAAATAGGGGAGAATGCTGGCAGGAAATGGACAGGAAGTCTCCTGGGGTATAATTAATAATATATAGAGTAAGTTTGTGTTTTTACTTGCAGCAGCAGCAGCCACACTGGGAGGGAGGAAATCAGGCAGTCTGCCTATGGCTCTGTTTTTATTACTGCTCCTCCAGGCTCTCCATCCTGCATGTTCTAGATGCTGACGCTTAAACTGATGGTCATTAGTAGGTTTCTGTAGGAAAATATCAAAAATATGTAATAATTAACCCTTTATAACCTTGTCTACAATTGGACACCTCTCTGTAGACCAACGTGGTTCACATTAGCTTTAAAAAGGCCAAATAATTCATCTGGTTTTGTCCTTCTATTAACAGTCAGCTTCAGGCTTTGTTCTAAGGTGCTGTTGATGTATTTCTTCATAAACGTCGTCCATGTTTCCTATGACAAGAAAACTACGAATCTGAGCAGATCTAGTTACACGAGTGCTTTACCTGCTAACGTAACTCCCACAGTTTGTCCGGACAACCTAAAATATTTATTGTCAACAATTCAACGTAACTTCTGTAATTTGTCCAGACCAACCAATCACGTCAATTTAAATATTGGTCCCCTGAAATATGATGAGAACCCGGACGTTGTCACGAAACTATGAAAACCCCCAAATGCCTCAGACAGAGCCTGAAGAGTAGAAATCTAGAGCCGTAGCGGCAGCTAAAGATTTCGCTCTGCAGGTCGGTTAAGCCACGCTCCACATGGACGTAATTTTGGGGGGGACAGGGGGGACATGTCCCCCCCCCCCCCCCCACTTTTTCCAAAGTCAAGTTTTGACCCCTGCACTTTTTACCATCCAAAAATAATATTACGCTATATTAAATTGACACTGGCTGAGCACTAGGACCAAGCGGAAAACAACCGTTGAAGCCGGTTTCCCATTAGAACATACTGTAAAGATACCCCACCCCCCCACTTCTAAAGTGAAAATTACGTCCTTGACGCTCCATTGTAGCCTCAGCAGTCTACCATTGGCACGGCTAATTTTAGGTCGAGCCAATCACAGCTCTGTTGGTAGAGAGATGTTGGGTGGGCTTAGAACTAGAGCTGCAACAGAAAAAACCTACAAAGATAGCATCAGCTCGGGAATGCCGCTCGTTTTAAATGGCTTTAGCATCAACTCCAGATGATTTGGACTTGAGCTGCCTTTGAGACATAAGCAGACAGAGGTACCTGGGCAATGAGCAATAGGATGGACGAACGCCCCGCACCATTAGCCACAGAATTCTCTAAGTTTCCTCCAGGAGCTGAATTGAGTAGTTTCCACTGCTGCCAACTTGGACGTGCCTCGTCACTACCAGAAGATGCATAAATGGAGTTGAGAGTGGGGCTCTGAGGACATGGGGCAGATGATTAACACCCATCCAACTCTGAACCGATGTAGTTATGAGCTAACTGAACTGACTGAAGCTAATGATGTGGCGCTTTAAGCCAGAAAACATAAGTAATTTATGCCAAATTGGCTACAAATGTTTAGCCTAGCAATCTAGACCGTCAGTTTGATGACGTAAAATGATTGGTCAGGGCTCCTTTGGCACTTCCACAGCCCTATCCAGTCTGGTGGCTCTGTAGTGGTCCAATCACACTATTGATTTGGTGGGTCAATCGCAGCGCTCTGTTATTGGGCAGGACGTTTCTGCGACTGAGCAAAAAAACAAAGATGGCGACAACTCATTTAAAATGACTTTGGCAGTATTTAGTAGAACCACCCGTTTGAGCTAATGCAGCCATGAGTCTTCTTGGTAAAGATGCAACAAGTTTCTTACACCCTGGATTCGGGGATCCTCTGCCATTCCTCCTTGCACATCCAGTTCCGTCAGGTTGGATGGTGAACGTTGGTGGACAGCCATTTTTAGGTCTTTCCAGAGATGCTCAAATGGGTTTAAGTCAGGACTCTGGCTGGGGCATTCAAGAACATTCACAGAGTTGCAGTAAAGCTATTCCTTCATTATTTTAGCTGTGTGCTTAGGGTCGTTGTCATGTTGGAAGGTAAACCTTCAGCCCATTCTGAGGTCCTGAGCACTCTGGAGATGTCACGTTGCCCAAGATATCCCGGTACTTGGCTACATTTACCGTTCCCTTAATAGCAACCAGTCGTCCTGCCCCTGCAGCTGAAAAACACCCCCACAGCATGATGCTGTCACCGCCATGCTTCACTCTGGGGACTGTATTGGACAAGAGATGAGCGATGCCTGGTTTTCTCCACACAGAACGCTTAGAATTAAGGCCAAATAATAAGGACAAAAATTAATTTAATTTATTTTAACAAATGGCTGCATTATATTAAAGAGTGAAAAACTGACGAGGGTCTGAATATTTTACATACCCACTGTACAGGATGAGTTGCCAGGCTAACAACTTTTTGAAATTTCCATGATTTATTGGTAGCTCCAAAGCCCCATTTTTATTTGATTTAATTTAAAATAAAAGCAATATTTGTTTTTTGTGGTTTGTTCATACCTCCAAAGTTTCGTTATTTTGTGACTATGGCAAACATCCTTTATAGAAACAAAATGTCCGTCTGTTTTTTTCTAATTTTCATTTTAAAAATGTCAAGTCAACATTTTGCTACAATCTTTGAAAATGATGAATTTCAGTATTTTTCCACAAAACTCTTGCACAAGTTTTAGTTAAACAACGAAGAGCAAAGATGCATTTTACTTCCTTTTGTTTGAATGAAAACGGATTTTAATGCATTATTTATTTTTGCCAAAACCGAATAAATGTCAGAGCTCTTGTGGTTTGGAATAAGAGAGATGGTCAATTAGTAGATCCGTCTATCTCTCTAAAGGCTAGAGGGTGAAGTAAATGCAGCCTGGTGATTTATTTTGGCTTAACCCATGTTTTATATTGTGGTTTCTGCTTTGTAAGCTGGGTGCAGCAGGATAACAAAGTGGTGGAAATAACTCTTAATTTACTCAGCAGCATTTTTTAATATCCAGGACCAAAACATAACATAACAAAACATAACAGGCTCCATCTTTATCAAATTTTATTTTTCATCACTCCTCTTCGGTGAACAGAGAACACTGTGGTCCAGTAACTGGATGCAGCAGGATTCATAGCGAGGAGCAGTTGTAAAACCTAAATTTGACAGAAAAGTGGTGACAGGGCCTCAAACATCCACTTGAAGAGTCGCTAGCATTAGGTCAGAGGTCCTTCCTAGTAGCTGCTTTATTCTAATGAGTCTTTATCAGAACCTGATTGGAGAGGCTTTAAGCATCCGGCAGCAGATTCTGGCTCATGGAGCGACCAGCAAATTTCTAAAGGTCTCCATTCACTGGCCCGCTGTCAGGGTGGAAAATTAGTGCTTCAGTAGATTTCACTTTCAATTTGAGCACAGCCCCAGATGAATGCAGGACCCTGTTAACATGGTCCCTTTTTGCTTCGCCACTTAGTGGAGTCCAGAGACGAGCGAGGAATGGTTTAGAGGAGTCAGACGTGTGCATGAAACACGGATGTGTCCCGTTCAGCTGGAAAACGACTAAATGCCTCACCTATAAACATTAAAAACTCAACATAAAATTATACACAGCTTGGAGACTTTAAAAATGTTATTCATTCATGGTCAGATGAGTAAGTGTGACAAACAAATGTCAATGTAATTTTTATTGGTTTGGTCTCAATCATAATGCTTTTACAGGATAAAAAAATACAGACGTAGTCTACTAGATTAGTCATTTATGTTCAAGTCTGAAAGTGCCATTAAAGATGATCCACAGCTGTTGGGCATTAATCAGCACTCCCTCCCTAATAACCCTGAAGTCAAGAGGACAGTCGTGGCAGAGACGTGATAATCCCGCTGTGCCCTTATCTCCCGCTCACATCCACCTCCCACAGGCAGCCAGCCGTTGGACGGGTGACTTTAGAAAATGCGTGCTAGCCTTCAGCGGGCTCCCACCAGCGCTCCAGTTCATCCATTAAGAGGTCTGACAGGCTAGTGGCTGTCAGATCACAGAATCATGGCCAGCCAGCCGGCGATCATAGCTACACCGCCCACAGGGGCCAGCTTCCCTAGACCGGGGTCCCCCGTCAAAGCCTGGTGGTACAGGGGCCCGCAGAACATCCCCATCCCCGCAATCAGGATGGTGCCAGCCTGGAAAGAGGAGGAGGATACACTTTTTTCATTCCATTTTATTTTTAAAGCACATTTCTACACGGCCGAGGCCAACCAAAGTGCTGCACAGTCGAAGAGCATAAAAATCAACACACGGGAAGAAAGTAATAAAAGTAGTACAGTAACTTATATAAAATCAACAATAAAAATAAAACAGAGACATAGTACAATGCTAACTAGGCTGAAGTAAACTTCAGAGCTTGTATTCTGTCTGATAATCAAGGTGATCAGTTAGACTATCAAAATAAAAGACTGGGAAACACGTGACTAATTCCATGAGATGACTCTATACAGCAATGAAGATTCATAGGGTTAGCTTGACCTTTGACCTGTAACTAACCATGAGAGGTTTGCTGCAGTGGGCGGCGCCTAGCAGGGCCAGGCTGTGGTAGAAGTGGTACTTGTTGGCAGTTTCATAAAGCTGCAAAAGCCCAAGCATAAAAATCAGACTTAATGATGAAGCATATTCAGTAAAAGGTCAGAGAACTCCAGCTAAATGAGTTTGTGCATTTTAGCCAATTTAAAAAAAGAAAACGTGAAATGTCTTTTTTTTTTAAACAGAAAACACACTAAGATGCATGGAGAGTCCAGGCAGTTATGTAAACATCACAAAACGAATAAATGAAATGTCCATGAATTAAACATATTGTATAAATTCAATAAAAAGAGAAGCATTAAATAATGGCTTACTACTATCCGGTAGTCGTCAGGGTCTTTGTTTTTGAAACCTAAACAATAAAACAAACAACTTGATAAACACGGTTACTGCATTTTTATGTCACACTTTGAGTTTGACTTGATTGACACCGGAAGTCTACCGTAAACTCAGAAGGCGGGTCACCTTGATTATAAATAGTCTCCTTTACTAAAATAGCTGTGCATTAGTCACACCATTCCAACGCCGAATGACATATCACATTGAAATGCATTCATTAAATTGTTTTTTGTCTGTTTCTAGTAATTCGGCTAGTTATAAAATAGCAAAAAATAAACATCACCATGTTTTGTCAACGGAGTCTGGAACGGTGAACATCAAGTCACGGTGTCTTGTGACTCTCTTTGGTCTGTTCAGCTCAAAGATAAAACACTGGGTTGTGAAATAACATAAACGTCGCGTATGATCATACCATGAGCTCCGTACGCTCCCAGTCCCACCGCAGAAGCTCCAGACAGAGCTGCTAACCTTCGCACCAAAGCAGAAGCCGTCATGTTGGTCCACCAACTACTCAGAGTGATGCTGCGTTCACGGACTGCATGTAATTTATATTGTTTGAGCCCTAAGCTGAACATTACACGTTTTGAAGTTCATAAACTCTCAATAAAACATATTGATTTCTTTATTAAATTCCGTGTATAAATATGTATGCATTTATCCTCTAAAATGTAATATATATTATAAATCTAAATTTTATCCAAAGTTAATGCTGTTTGGTCCTTCTTTGCTATTGTGATGAACACAGCCGAGTTATTGAACTAGTGATGGGAATTCCGGCTCTTTTTAGGGAGCTGGTTCTTTTGGCTCAGCTCACCAAAAAGAGCCAGCTCTTTCGGCTCCCAAGTGGCTCTTCAGATTTTCTGTTGCGTAGACTACATTTATAACCAAAATAATGCTAAACTATATGTAAAATAATTTACTAATGTAAAAAAAAGTAATATATAAAATATTTATCATTTCTATGGATTTAATAACTGAACACTTTAAGAAATCTCCACTTTCCGACTGCTGGCGCTCATTTTCTCACCGTTTTCGTCGCACTCTCCTCCCTCTCGCTCGGCTTTTTCCTCCTCCTCATTCCCTCTCGTCTCCCTCCTCCCACATGTGCTCTGCTGTGTGTCTGTCTGAGTATGATCCTCCCTTCTCCCCCTCTCCTCTTCCCCACCCCACTGTGTGTGGACAGTCTGGACACACAGTTACACATGTTGACCAATCATCTGTAGCTTTCACCAAGGCAGGGGGGGGGGAGGGGGGAGGGGAGGGGAGGGGACGGCTCCCAATGACGAGCCGGCTCCCGTCGTTTACTTCAAAGAGCTGGCTCTTAGAGCCAGTTCGTTCGCGACCGACACATCACTATATTGAACCAAAATTTAATGATGGGATTTATGGCTCTTTCATTGGATCCGTTCATTAGTCGGTCATTTACCTCAAAGAGCCGTTCAAAAGACTGGCTCCTTTGAGCGAAGTCAAGCCCACAGAGCGCACGGGGCTGGGGGTAATCAAGAGCAACGTTTTACTGCGGTGTCCATGAGGGCGCACAGGGTTGGTTAGCGTTCCTCCCGAGATATGTATATAAACACATGTTTCTATGGTTCCTCGTCCGACAGAGCGGTGGGTGGGGTTTGAGCGGGTGAGTTTGACCGACTTCCGGGAAGGTTTGCTAAGATGAATGGCTCTCTACAGGGACTCGGCTCTCATCATTCATTTTGAAAATCCGTTCAAAAGATTTGATTCGTTCGTGAACGTCACATCACTACCAAAATGGCTGCCCCAGAGCTATAGTTTCAACCATCTCCGTAAATCTTTGGGCAATTGTGGGCAAGATGAGACACCTAAAAGACACTTGAGCAGTTGCTACAGTGCTTTGGGGTTTCATGTGGCTGTGGACACATTTGTTTAGCTTTTAATGCTTATTTAATGTAAAAACTGTGATATATTATTGTATTAGAGAATAAGCATGGGGGATGTTATGATGATGGTGCGCTGGTCCTATGATAAAAGGCTGTAAATATTTAAATCCTCCTGAATAAACTTTTTTCTCCAACACAGGGTTGATTGCTAAAATAAAATGTCTTTTTCCTGCCAGAAGACGTGTTAGGAAGTAATTCTGATGTTACCTTTTGATGAAAGGACACTAATCCCTGTTGAGATCTTGCCAAAAGGGGGAGCTGTATTGCTTTCTGCCAAAATGTATGTGTGTGTGTGTGTGTGTGTGTGTGTGTGTGTGTGTGTGTGTGTGTGTGTGTGTGTGTGTGTGTGTGTGTGTGTGTGTGTGTGTGTGTGTGTGTGTGTGTGTGTGTGTGTGTGTGTGTGAAGGAAGAAGAAAGGGGACTTCTTCCAATTATCATATTAAAATTACACAGGGTCACACTGCATTACTGGAGCCACTAAGCCACAGCTTCTGTCAGGTCTCGTCCTTAACTGACTTTGATCCAGAATTACCACAACGCATACAATTAACACACTTTAATGACCATTTGCTAATTAAAAATAAATCTTATGAGTCACAAGCATTCGTCATCAACCAAGCACTGATCCTGAAGTCAGAGTGCTTTCTGCACGTCTCTTTGCACGGACTTCCTGTTTGAATTGCGACTTCTAGTTTTGAGTATTTCCTGTCATTTATTTGTTGAAATCACAGAGATTTCTGAAAAAATATCTGTCCGTCCTCAAACATCAGCAAAGATGTTATAACTGAGTTGCTTTTAATGATAATGATCTTAAATCTGACGTGAACATAACAGAAATCGCTAACTGATAGAATGCAATCACGCAATGTTTTCTTTAACAGTAGTTGGCTATAATGATGCTCTGTGCTTGATAGGGAGCCTAAGTCACCCCCATCTACTTCTGGATCATGGGTCACCAGAAGAATGAAAAAAAAAATAAAAGAGTGCAATCAATGGGGCTAAAAAATGCTATTTTCTAGTGCCATGTGCCATGGATTTCACATATGACGTCAATGAATTTTAAAGATACATTTTGATGCCAAGAAAGTGCTTCTTTATGGGAACAAAAGCAATTTTGGGTTTTGTGTGAAATACGTCTACAAATGTACATCACCAAATTGACGTAATCAAACCAGACACGGAGAAAAGCAGAGGAAAAATTGCTGTTAGTTCAGCGAACTTTGAATCCTTTTTTTCAGGAAGAAAGAACCGCCTTAAAGAGCAAGTAACCCCCTACAAGAAACTTACTCCACTCCCACTTAATGTTTGAAAAATGCAACAAATGCTGTTGCCTGGTAGACTGAGAGGGCGGAGCTGCTAACAAATTCCCACACACAGGCTCACAACAGGACTGTGACATCATAATATACCAGCTAACATTCTAGGGTACCACTTAGCCAATAGCAGTGGCATGTTTAAATTCAAATGTAGTGCAGAGTTTTTACCTGACAGTTGTAGGCAGAATATTGAAATTTCAACAATGATTCACTAAAGTGCCAAATTATTGACTACACGTGTTTAGACACTCATTTATATAGTTTTTCGCCCAAAAATAAGTTAATTTGGGGGTGACTTGCTCTTCAAAGGGGCATTATGGAAGTTTGACAGCCAAAACATGTATAGAAATAATAAATTTCTTCTTCATACATTCTCCAGCAATGCCCTGGTCCTGTAGAATGAGCCCTGGCATTTTTACTGTGATTGCCTGTTTTTCTGTAAAATCACAGAAAAAGAGAGCTGCTCGGGTTGAGCAGGCTGCTTCATGCGCGTTCACGCTCAGGCATAGCCCGTAGCGTTTGCTTTCCGTAGCTTTAGCAGCAGAGAGTGAGGTAGTGCCAACTCAGCGACTTTGTCGCTGTTTCTAACGCTTAGTGATGAACCTAGCTACATTTCTGAGGACCCTTAGCTACTTTCTTCTAGATATTTCCTGCAAATTAGCAACAAAACAGCCATTTTCGCTCCAAACCGTTCTTAGAACCAGGGGCGGCGTTAGGCCCGGCTACTTGGGCTCAAGCCCCGAATCTTTAATGAATAGCCCCGGATCTCAAACGTGGAAGTAGCATGCAGTACCAAAGTCCAACAGAGAGGGCGCAGCTAGCAGCAGTTTGTATACAGCCTGCCTGAACCTCCACCACAGAAGAAGAAGCCCTTCAGCAGCCGGCTTCTTCTGCAGTGCCTGGTTTTTTTCTACACTCTGCCTGAAACGCATGTGTGAAGATGGACATGAGGACGTTTTTCAGACAAAAAGTACAATGACAAAACCCCAGCTTTGATGATACTGGTGTTGACTCAGGATTGTGAGTCTTATTTGAAAATATGTGTTGTGCTGCTGGTTTGCCTAAAGTTAGCTTACTATCAGGTAAAGTTGATGGAGAAAGAAAGGGAATATTTACTATAATCTCACACTAAACACTTACAGGAACAATACTCTGCCCTGAATATGCTTAATATGTTGCTTCAGATTAAAAATTATGTGGTACAAGACAAATATATATGTTGACTAGTGCGTGTCACGTGTGTGCGCGCGTGCGTGTGTGTGTTAAGCCCCGGATCGTCTTCAGTCCTTAATCCGCCGCTGCTTAGAACGTTGTTTCAGCTGTCATCAACGATATAAAACTTACACATACATAAGACATTACTGTTGCTTTAGCTCACCTATTAAGAGACCGGACCGTCATGCAGTAGATCCGGTTTCGATTCTGGATGTGTAAAATTATTTTTTTAGAATTTATTTTTTACATTAATGTTATATATTTTTTACAGTAAGATGCCCAAATTTTTATTTGAGACTCGCCGAACAACATTGAATTCACAGATAAAAAAGATGTGGGTTCAACTTTCATTTTGGAACTGTTTTTCAAGCAAGGGAAGGGAAGCTCTGTGAAGCTGACGGACTGACCCATCTTAAACCTTTCTCGGCTGTGCTGAAGAGAAAGGTACAGAACCAAAGTATTTAATTAATTAGCTGCGCGTTCTCCTGTCCTCTGTCCTCCGGGCCACACACACACACACGGGACTGTCTCAGCTGTTATTTTCGTTAAGGAGTGTGCACGTACAATATGCACGCCTCGTGCACGAGCCTACTATTGAAGCTGCCGTTACGCTTTTGGCCTGAGGGGGCAATCACGAGCATAAAATTCAAAACTCTGTAAAGTCCCTTTAAATCTCATCATGTTGTAAGTAGCAGCATATGCTAGGGGAGAGGAGGTGAGGAGAGGTTTTCCCATATATATATATATATATATATATATATATATATATATATATATATATATATATATATATATATATATATATGTGTGTGTGTGTGTGTGTGTGAACAATGGGCTTCCATAGACTCCAATAACACGTTTTTGAGGAAAAATGGGAGGTGGCCACCACCTCCATTTTGACCGTGTCCCAGGTTCCGTCAAGCCCAGACATTTCCACAAAAGGGAAGAGAGGTGGAGCTGAGGCTGTGGCTGTAAGGTTGGAATCAAATGACGACACCCGGTCGAACTAGCTACAAGCTATCCTGAAGCTAACCCAAAGCTAACGCGGAGGTGGGAGCTAAGCGAATGGAGATAGCTACCTAGCTACAACCGGAGCTAACTCTGTGGAACACCAGCGACCT